TATGTAGTCAATTTCTTTAGCTGAATCTACCAAGTCTTCAAATGAACACTAGTTATATCTCAGGAGAGTGCGCCATGTGTCTTTAACAAATCTGAAGAAGCTGGACATGTGAAGGTGTGTCATCTGTCAAAAACCCAAGGAAGTGAAACAAGGAAACAGTGCCGGTTCTGGCATCATTTGGCATCATTTGGCATCATTTGGCACTGCGTTTTAGCCAATGCTGTTGGAGATTTATGAACACAGATAAATAACATCAGATTCAGGGAATAGGTGTAAGCCTTCCTCTTTCACTTCAGCTCCAAAAGTGAAAGAGCGATGCCCCCTGGTGTTTGTGGAAAGTAATGACCTCCTTTTAAAGAAAGCTCAGCTGAGATGTCCTTTCAGCTGAAAAACAGGAAAGGGGCAACTGGAGGAGGGCCACAGTGAGGCCAGACATTTCAAAATTAAAGTCAGTAGAAGTTCCCCACTTTGTGAAAACTTCATGTAAATAGTTTTACAATTCTGTTTTAGGGATTTCATAACCTGCGGTACGGTACATTAAGAGATTTAAATACTTGGTTAAGATCTTCAAGCTGCTGGAAGAGCACTGAAAGTAGATGACTGTGATCTTAGGGACACTTCTGAAAACCACTGTCAGTGTCAAGTGGAAATTAAGCTCCTTTAGACGAAGAAAAAAAGAAAGAAAACCAAAACAAACATGATCCACTTTACTGAGAAAAGGTAAAAAACTATCCTGGGATTTCACAAGTCACAATTTGATATTACTTGTTGGAAATTAGTATTTATTACAGGACAGCAGTCATCCAACTTGTTATTGGTGGGTAGTTAATGCTAAAGTGGTCTGCTTATAAAGTCTGTGCATGTAACTCCTGAAAAGCGCCTTGAGGCGACTTATGTTGTGATTTGGCGCTATATAAATAAAATTGAATTGAATTGAATTGAAATTGAATTGAAAACAAATGTATTTTGAAATAGTCACAGCCACTGAAGTGAGATGTATTTACAGTTTCTTTAGTTATAACAAGGAAACACGACCAGCTGATTGTGTGATGTGCAACAGAACGG